TTGGATTTCTATCTTTTTTTTTTGGATACAAAGCCCTTGCCCCATTTCTCCGCATAGAGTGTGATGTCCAGGAATGCCTTGCCTGCACGCCTTTTTCCTTCCCTCTGCCCTCAGTTCTGTGCCTTCTTTACATCATTCACCCAGGACTGTCCTGTCCCAGGGTATTCTCTGAGAGGAGCCTACCCCATGACACTCTTCCACCCCGCCTCTCTAGAACCTTCCCTCACCTTGGAAAACCTAAACTGAACGCCAAGGTATCAGGTCAGTACATGCTGTTACTTTTCCAGCAGCCAGCTTAGAAAGCTTGGGACCATTGATGCCATTGCTAGACTTCCACAGGATCTTAGAAATGGGGTTTTGTATTTGTTTATTACATTTTTCTAGATTAATGTTAATGTTCACTATCTAACTGGGATCTGCTGCCAATTGGAGACTACTGTCTTTTTTTTTTGGCAAGAATAGCTCAATTTAAATGTCACTTAAATGACACAAAAAGATGCCTTCTGTGTTGAGGACAATCCTTTGACAAGTTTAGCACTGATTGCTTTATAACAGTGAACTAGCGAGTGGTACCATATCGTCTCAGTGAGGAAGATGAATGTCATGAGCCCTCAGGGAACTACTCCTGGCTGAGTCCTGTAAACTCCAAAGTATTTCTTAGTTAGAAACAATACACAGTCACTTTGTTCTGCTTGAAATCTAGTCTCACAGGGAGCCAGAATATTCCAGCTTCCTCACTCATGACTTAGCTCCATTAGCAGCCCTTACAATCGAAAATGGATGTCTGGCACTGGTTCCCTTTTTTTTGAAGAGAAAAGTGGCACCACCAGTGACCACTTAAGACCCCAGCCTTATTCTCTGTGCCCAGGAGGCCGACTCATGTCAGAGCTCTCCCAAGAGCATATGTTGGCCCGAGGAAGGTCAGAATTACTTATACCTAGAACCACATTGATAGAATCCCCCAGACTCAGATCAATCTTGTTTCTAATCAGTTCTGACTTGATTTGGGGACTTGAGACAGTGACTCTGTGGTCTCTGCAGCCTGAACTGAATCCTGTGGATTGAGCAGAACTTTCTGTTTCCCCTGAGCTGTGTGGGGGTCTTTCATAGCTCCAAAGTCAACTGAAAAAATAGAAAACTCCCAATTTCTATGCAGGGGGCTAACCATCTTCCCCAGATTTCTCCTTGACCCTATATTGGTGCTATCCCTACCCATTCCACATTTCCCAATATTTCTGCCTTCTTAGAGGGAGGAGGTCTTAACCTCAAAGAAGAGACAAATCGTTACTTACTTGGTTCCACAGTTACGCGGATTCCTTTTCCAAAGTTGAGTTTGGAAAACTCACAGTACTTGAGGGTGTTCCCAAAACCTTGGCAGTGCCCCATCTTTCTTCTTCCCAATTAACTTTAGGAATGGGGACTTTTAGGGTTTGACTCTTAGAAAAATGGCACTTGTCACTTATCCAACTGGTTCACGATGATTCAGTCACTTGCCAGTAGGGGTGGGTGTGCTCTGGGGAGGTTTTTGTCTGAGAAGTAGATGGGAGCACACGTTCCCAGGGCAGACATTTCCAGGACAGTGCCTGGAGTTCTCTGAACCGTTGCTGTCTATGGTTTTGGATTGTTTTCAGTTCCTAGACCCACACCTAACTCTCAGTCTTGGAAACCTGACATTGCCAAGCAGATGAGTCTCAGATCCGTGAGTACAGCAGAGTCAAGGCCTCCACAGTCACCGGTGCTGCTTGAAGGGCAGGTAACAGGTGGCATCACAAGAGGTGATGGTGTGGTGTGCCCATGACTTAGAGTTCAGTCAGTGTTAGAATGAGCAGCTATAGCTGGTGATTGCCTAGAAACAAATCAATCTCTGTTGAAATTCATCTTCCCAAACTGCAAAGCAAAGCATTCAGCCAAATCTCTCTAGGGCTTTGAATTCAGAAATTCCATATGAGTTGGCTTATGTACTTTTCCTTTGCAATAGAATCAACACAAAACCAAGACAAGGTAAGTTTTTAAAGAAACATTTTTGTATTTCCCAATCATGGCTGTAATACCGTATTGAAAAGCCAGTTTCACCTCAGTGAGAACAGCAGTGAGAGGCTGGCAGCTGGGCATCACTTCTCTTGGCCTGATCAACATTCTGCTGTCCTTTCTGAGTCCCTGAGTAAGAAGGGACAGCTACTTGTTGTGTTCATCACCCTGGGGCAGGGTAGCCAGGCTGAGGATTTCCCAGGGAAGTGCTACCTTTGCCCCTGCAGTTTTTGTACAGGTCTCCATGGGTTTTGTAGCACTGTGCGTATCCCACCAATCACAATGTTACAGGGCTTTACAAAAACCTCCCTGGGTTTTACCCTATGTGAACTCTGAGAACCCCTGGGGCCGGGTGTTTTCTCCAAATCAAGCTCCAGCAAGATCAAAGGATTTGGCAGTTGGGTCAGGGCAGGCTCACCCAAGTGCTTCTGCCTGAGGCTCTTCTGTCTCACTGGCTAAATCTGTCCTGGAGTTTGCAACTAGCATGGACTTTCAGAAACTATCACACCCACTCTGTCTGTGCTTCCTGGTCAGTCTTCTCTCAAGTGGTTCCCCTCAGAAGAGTTTGTAAGCTATCTGAATGACTCAAGTGGATTTTCCATGCTGCAGGTTCGGCAGAAAATGTTTGTGATCAATGTGATTTCTCCTGTCACCTGCTAAGCCTCTGAATTACCTCTGCCTGCCCCTGCTTTATACCTGAATAGTGTTAAAACAGTTTACAAAGGCCTTTAACATAAATTTTAAAATTTATCCTCTCCATTGACTGCCTGTTGCTAAATTCAGGGCCAGCAGCCCATATGGTTCTTTGTGTGATTTAGAAAAGGCAACCCTGCTGGGCGCGTGCAGAGGCAGCAGCTTGGGTTCGAGCTTGGGAAACAGATGGCACCTTTGTGTGCTGTATAAAAGGTTTCCCTTTCTCCAGCTGATGCAGCTCTACAACCAGGGCCTTTGGCCTCACTTGTCCCTTGGCCGAGCGCCCTTGTGCAAGGCACAACTGTGCAAGTAGATGCAGTGGCTCTGTCCAAATTCAATTGATACTTTTTTATTTATATTCTTGTTTGACCTCTGATTTTTTTTTGACACAGTTTCTCCCTGTTTGCTACTGTTCTCTGGGTCAAGACACTGGTCTTGGTTCAGCTTTGATCTCTGTGTCTCTAACTACGAAAACAAAGTGATACACTAAGCTTATCAAAAGCGATCTTGTTGGGAGGGAGGTGGGGAGCACTGGGGTGGTGGGCTAAGACGGGAGTAAAAGACAGAAAACTGTACTTGAACACTAATTAAATTTAAAAAGTTAATAAAAGTGATCTTATTAAATGTGAACCATTAAAAGAGAATGTGATTTTTGTTGTTATTAAAAGGGAGAAAGAACGAAAAAAGTCTTTAGACTTTCCCTTGAGGATCTTATGCAAATCCATTGCTTAATTTAAATGCCACAATTTTACTTATAATCTTTGTGACAACTCTCTCCCGCCCCACATATGACTGCATGCCTGCCCCATAAACTCCAAGCAACTCCCATCTCCACATACAGAGTCTAACACTCTCCTGATTAAAAAAACCTCAAAACAAATAGGAAAAGAAGAAATGAAGAAATGTTATGGCCTCAGTAACAGTGTAACAGGGGATGGCTTAGGGCAGAAAGCAGGAAAATGTGAAACTCATGGGGAGGGCTGGATGAGAATAAAGAATTGTAATTTGGACTCTTGAGTATAGCTGTTCTTAGTGCTAGTCTTTGAACTGATAAGAATTTGGTGGTCACCGTGCTGAGTAATACCTTAAGCGTCTCATTAACTCACATGAGACTTGTGGACCTTCTCCTAGTGCTGTTGTGCTGACTTTCCCAAGCAGGCACCAGAATCTGGTTTGAATAGAAGTAATTATGGGAGACAAAAAGCTGGGACCAAAAATGCAATTGAAATCTTGAGTTATATCAAAAGTTAAACCATGCAACCTTGTGGATCCAGGGCAGTGAATTTTACAATCCTGTGGCTGTGGCAGGGAGTTTTGGGGTGATGAGTCCTGATGAGAATGCAGCGGCTATGGTTCCCACCTTTTCACTCTCTGTTACGGAAGTGTACGTCCATGTACCTTACCACATGACTCTGCAGGGCCTCTGAGGCCGACTCCATTGACCTTGAGGCTGGCCATGCTTTGATCTGTAGAATATGGGTAGAAGTAATAGCATGCCAGGCCCCAAGAGACATCACATCATGGACTTCCAATAGCACTCTTGAATCTCTGCCTTCTGAGATGAGAGAGTGTGTTCCAGAGACTTGCTGCTGCTTCAGCTGGTTCTGAGAATGAAGACATGTAGAGAACACCTGACTCTAACCCACATCTTGAAGCCAAGTCTGGCTGTCCTGAGCAATACATGCTTGTTATTCTAAGCAACTGACATTTTGGGATCATTTGTTATAGGTCATAATAACAGCAGAAATATATGATTAATATAGATTCCAAGCCTTGTGGGGACCCTAACTATAAAATTACATGCTTAAAATTTTTGGTGGTTTCCTATTATCCTCAGGATAAAGTGATGTGGACCATGGGTTTTGCTTACATTCCAGTCCTATATCTTGTACTTCTATACTTGTTCTCTTAAACTCAGCTGCATTGAACTACTTGCTTCCTTAAAGCTCCATGTTCTTTCATAACTCTTTGTCTTTACCATGTGATTGCTTTTTATCATATGTGCTCTTTCCTTCTTTTATTTCTCAATTTGTTTCCCAACCCATCTGCTTAGATCTTATTCATTTCTGGTCTTAGCTTAGCTACTTCCCAAGGAAGGCCTGCTTGAAGGCTCTGACTGGATTCAGTTAGGTGCTCACCCCTCCCCTGAATTTCCATGACATTCGGTGCTTTCTCCACCATTGCACTCAAAACCCCTTTCTCTCTTCTTCATTGGGTAGAGACCCTTGAGGGAAGGGGTTTTCTTGTTTATTTCTGTATACCTTGTGCCAGCACAGTACCTGACTTGGTGAATGCTCAGAAAGTGTCTTCTGAATCCATTTTAAGGATGAGGTGTCTCATGTTCAGAGAGGATGAGCTAGAAAGTGACAGAGCCATGGCCAGAGCCCACATCTACCCAACTCCTAGCCCCCTGCTCTCTTTCTGGCACCAGGCTACCTTTTGGAATACAACCTTAATTTGTTCAGTGGAGCACAGCAACATTAGTGGTAAACAAATTGATTTTTAACAATAGCCTGACTTAAGCTTCATTGGGAAGATAAATTTGTTGTGATTTGTTCCACACCATGAAATACATTCTAAAACCAAACAAAAGTGAGTTTCATGTTGTCTTCATATTTGGAGGATTCAAATCACTTACTTTTCCACTAACGTGAGATTCAAGGATCATTTGTGCCTCTGGAGAGGAAGCCTACAATGTCATGGCTGGAGAGGAAGCCTAGAATGTCAGACTTCAAAGATCATATATTCACTCCATTGGGTGTTTGGATGAAAGAGTCTAGAAAGGTCCAGAGAGGCTTCACAACTTGACAAGGCATCCAGCTTCAAAGGAACACATAAGAAATCAAGTATTTTGATTCCTAGTTCAGTTATATTTTTTAATAGGCAAATACCCAGTCTTCTTTGGTCTTTTATTCTGGCATTTATCATTTGAAATAGTTTCTGGGCATCCTCTCATTCCCACAGCCTGATCTCGTTCCCTGAAGTGGCCATAGAATGGCCTGGGTGACCTGGCATTTTCTCTTTCTCCGTGACTTTTCACTGTTGTCTCAGATGCTCTTCTATGGGAAAGGAGTATATGTGGCAGGCACAGGGTGGGTATATCCTGGAATTCAGCTTTCCCTGGAAGGAAGCAGCCCATGTTCTCAGTGCCCCACAAGCTCATCCTCAATGAGGAATAGAGGAAAAGGGAGTGTGTGGGACTGGGTTTACCAAGGTGTTGTCCAGTCCTACCTGGGACCAGGCCTCACACACAGAGACTCAGAGCACTTTGAGAAAATTTATGGGATACCAACCAAATAAATAAATAAATATGGCACAGGGCTATCCTCAAGGGATATGGACTTTGAGCTATGTTCATTTCCACCTCCTGCTCCCAGTGTTGGTATGTACTCCTTGAGGGCTATAGACAAATTGCAGTATATTCAAAGAAGAATACCAGGCTGTTGAAGAGACTTCAAACCATGTACAGGGAGGGACAGCTAAAAACCCTGGGGGAAGAAGACCAAAGGAAGGGGTATCTCTGAGGGTGTTTGATCTCAGTCTTTGGATATCTGTTGGGAAGAGTTGGCTTATTAACTCATGTCTACTATTGCATTCTATCTATTGTGGTGTGTTGGTTTCATTGACATATATGAGAAAAATAGAGATATGTATTTTTCTTCTTAAATTTTATTTATTTTAGATAGATGGGAAGGGAGGGAGAAAGAAAGAAGACTGATGTGTGAGAGATGCATTGAATAGTTTCCTCTCACACACCCCCAGCTGGGGACCTGGCCTGCAACCCAGGACATGTGCCCTTACTGGGAATCAAGCCAGCAACCCTTCAGTTCGCAGGCCATCGTTCAATCCACTGAGCCAAACCAGGCAGGGCTACAGATATGTATTAATAGCTCAAAAAGAGAGGTTAGTTGCAATGTGGAATCTGAAACCATGTTAATAAACTTTACTTATTCTGTTAGATTAAAATATACTGGTCTATCTTACATTTTGGATGGAACTTTCACTCATATGCGCTTTTATAACATAATCCATTGGTTAATTGGGAAATATTTGTTCATGAGTTAAGCAACTTCCACATGTTGAGACACTTCATTATACAATATCAAAATACCACAGTAGTTAATATCACCACTGATATCTTTAAATAAGAAAACTATTTAAATTTTGGGGAGGCATCCAGCTCATGGTGGCAGATACAAATTTTTATAAGCTCTAATTTTTGCCTAATGCTTAGATTTTTATCATTATTAACAATTATTAGTTATTTTTCTTGATGTGACAAGCTCATTTTATTCATTTTTAAGAAGATGCCTGCCAAGTACCCACATCTGAATAACTATAGTTTGTCTGTCATTCTTTCAAGTGAAAATGGTCTTTCATGGAAAAAGTGGCTCATTCAGCTTTCAACTCAAACAATTGCACAAATGTTTTTCCTTGGGATAATTATCATAATTTGGAACGTAGCAGAAGTGCTTTCTGTGTACTTCCTCTTTTGCCACATAGAATGCTAAAAATACACATACTTGAGAGTTAAGATTTAATAAAGTTGAGTTTTTTATTTTACTTTGTCAATGTGAGGACTGAACTGTGCCCTCCCAAAGTTCTTATGTTGAAGTCCTTACTCCCAGTATCTAGAATATGACGCTGTTTGGAGATAGGGCCTTTAAAGAAATGATTAAGTTAAAAATGAAGTCCTTAGTGTTTGGGCCAACCTAGTATGACTGGTGTTCTTACAAAAAATGAAAATTTGGACTCACAAAGAAACAAAACATGAATGTACAAAGGAAAGACCATGTGAAAAGGTGGCCCACAGCAAGCCTAGGAGAGAGGCCTCAGGAGAAATAAACTCTGTAGGCATCTTGACTTGGATTTGTAGCCTCAAAAGAGAAAATACATCTCTGTTATTTAACTCACCAAATCTGTAGTATTTTCTTATGTCAGCCATAGCAAACTAACATGATCAATGATATTTTAAAGGGTAACTGGCTTCTCCCCCCACCAACAAATATGCGGCAGTGAAGAATATAATGGCTACTAATATAAAAAGCATGCCACTGCCTTGATTCACGTTAAAGGACTCGTAGTTTTACCCACCATTGTTTTTGTATCAACAGAGAAAATGTCAACAAAATGAGAAAGGCAAATAATATTTTGGTATTATTATCCTGAAAAGGTGTTGAGGTCCCTAGAGTTTCATTGATCATAATTAAAAAACCACTGTCCTAATTCTATGTTGTTTGTGCTGTCAAACGTACAACCCCAGGCCTCCTCTGCTGCCTCACCTCTCCCTACCTGTTTGCTGGAGATTAGCAAACCAATTTTATCATATGCTTTGACTGATCAAAGCAGCCTTTCAGTTCTAAAAAATGATAAAATTGACTCAAGTATTTTGGTTGCAATTTCTAGTCAAAGACCATAGATCTGTATGCCATCTCCCTCAGGTTTCTTTTGCTTGGTGGTACTCTGGGGGTCAGATGCTGGATTCATGATAATTGTGCTTTGGTGACAGAAGGAGGACTCAGTGAAGGCCTAGAAGTCCGACCACATTACGTTCAGTATCCATACTATATTTTTGTGACAATACTTCAGCCTTTCCATTAAACACAATGTTTACTTGTTTAAGTGACAGGTAGTTGAGATGGTAACTTGAGTTTTGGGCAAAACCATAAAGAGGAGGAATAGACCAATATGGCTTGCAGGTTAATGCATCAAATAATATACTCAGCAACTGGACAGGAATGAAGAAGCCAGGCTTTTCAACTAAGACCCATGTAAGGGCCCAAGAATGAATAAATCTGGTCACATTCCCCTCAGGTAAGAAGACCTCAACACACTTTGGCTTTTGTCAAAACCTTCTCTTACTTTCTCTATGATGCCCATCCAACTGAAGGAGATATGAGCTTGGCAATCAACTGACTGGAATTACGTAGTATACTTATACAAGAATGGAACATCCTTACTGTCACACAAGTGGAGAACTTGATTTTGAACTATTATCATTTTAGATATTAAAAGGTGGTGATTTTAATACAATGCCTTACTTATGCCTATTTATTCAATAAGAATAATCCAAAAAGTGCGACATCATCATTAGCAATTTTCTTATTTATTTTACCTATATAGTCAGTAAAAAAGTTCATTGTTATCTTAGAAATATGTCATATGAACATATAGTTTTAATTTGTTCAAAGGTCTATAAGTTCAGGAAGTTCTTTGAGTAGAGTAGCAGTCTTTAAGAAAATATGCTAATTTTCAAGAAACATATTGCATTTCAACTTATCATTGTTTAAACTTACTGCAGACTTCTTGGCCACTTAAAAATAAGAACTTTAAGTAGCATTCTAAAGTTTTGAGACATTCAAAAAAGAGATGAACAGAATCAATACCTATATACTCATCACCTAAATATAAGAATTGTTAATGTTTGCCATACTCTGTATTTTGGTCAGTTATTTAGAAAATAAATTACAAACATCATTAAAATCCTAAACAGTTCAGTATGCATTGAAAATATTAAACATGTGAAGCATCTTATTTAATAAGAAGGAAGAAAGGAAAGAGAGAGGAACATAATTATAAAGAATAAAATGGCAATAAATACATACCTATCAATAATCACTTTAAGTGTAAATGGATGAAATGTTCCAGTCAAAGGATGTAGGGTAGCTGAATGTATTAGAAAACAACACCCATATATATGTTTTTCAGCGACAGGAAAAAAACTAAAAAACACACAAACACATGGAAGTTAAATAACATCTTATTAAACAATAAATGGGCCAACAAAGAGATCAAAGAATAAATCAGAAGTTGCCTTGGGACAAATAAAAATGAAAACACAACAACCCTATGGGACACAGCAAAAGCAGTCCTAAGAGGGAAATTCATAGCAATACAGGCTACCTTGAAAAACAAGAAAAATTTCAAATAAACAATCTAACCTTACATCTAAAGGAACTAGAAAAAGAACAACAAGGTCCAAAGTAATTAGAAGGAAGGATGTAATAAAGATTAGAGCAAAAATAAATGACATAGAGACTAAAAAAATACAAAAGATCAATGAAAACAAGAGATGGTTCTTTGAAAAGATAAACAAGACTGACACACTTTGAACCAGACTCATCAGGAAAAAAAGAGAAGTATCAAATAAATAAAATCAGAAATGAAAGAGGAGAAGTAACAATTGACAACATAGAAATACAAGGAATAGTAAGAATATTTTATGAACCACTATATGCCAACAAATAGAATGAACTGAGCAAAAATAGATAAATTCCTACAAACATGCAATCTT